CCCCTTTTTACCTTAGCTCGAACCACCAACGTTTAGTTATCGATCGCGATCTCGTGACCTGTCCGTGTGCCGTCGTTCCAGAATTGTGACCGTGGGTCATCACGTTCGATGGCAGGCTGGTGTTGATGTAGGTGAGGCTGTAGTTGTTTGCCTGGCTTAACTATGTCGTGTTGATTGCTGCCCAGGCATGCGTAGATTTCCCCTGATCGCTCGTACTGTTTGACTCGATCCTTATCGTAAAATAATATCAGTGATGCATAAGAACAAAGTCAAAATGCGAAGACATTTCTTTTTAATGTATCCCTGCAGGCATTTCGTATATATATTTCGATTCGTCAATAGAATAATATAAGGCCTAGGCTGAAGTTGAATGAATCTCTGTGTGCAAAATGCTCAGTAGACAACATGCTATCAAGTCACGATAATCGGATATGGAAAAGCCGGATAAAAATGCAAGATGAAAGATGTTAGTCAAGAATGAATAAAACAGTTTTGAAAGTGTGCGAAAACAAAGAGACAGTAAATGAGGAGTGAGGGTTCTCACTGTGGTGAAGTAATATTTGGTAACTGGATTCTGTGAACTATTCATCATTACGGAGCACTTCTAACTATTTACGGGCAGTAGCCATAAGTTAGAGCTTGTTTAATCTTTTCTCTGGTGGCCTGCATGCTTATCCAAGACATCGACCAAGGTCCAAAGGTCTTCTCTCAACATGCTTCACAACATGTTGCACCGGAAAATTCCTCCCCCTTTTCAGTTCCGTGAGCTTAGGTAATATTACGTCAGGTGCATGGGTTGTTTCATGCTTTGTTTGCCAACGGGTGATATTCATCAACGGATACTGTACCTCCACCGTTTCCCCTGGGTTGACTGCAAGAACCCCAAAATACCGCGTTGTGGTTCAGCTATGATAACCGAAAGGTGTTCTGATCTCCTAATACTTACTAACTTGTCGAACATTTTCACAATTTCTGATTGGTAGTGGCTTCGGTAATCCCCATTCTAAGAACAACCACGGTGGCGTTCCCATGGTGAAACTGAATCGAGAAATGCGACAATGGCATTAAGATTATTTGCAGACAGTTTGTACTTATTACTTGTGAATGTCATACGTTAATCTAAATTCACTCGGTTTAATTTGTGTGAAGGAGGTGTTTAAGTAATACTATATGATTTCAGCAATAAAGATTATCGAATTCAGAGCCCATACTCAGAAAAGTGCATTTTGGAAACATTCCAATTTTTAAACTTGTATGTTCTTATAAAATCTCGTACTCTTACAAAAATTATCGCATCTTTCGACAACCCTTGTTACTTTATTTCTACCGCAGTTGATTTGATGCAGATATCTCATTCCGTTCCGAAAATATGGCCAAAATGGTCATTTTGATTATCCAGTGTTTGAAGATGCTCATGTGGTGGTGTCACCGAGATGGATTATGACTTGAAAGTGTCGAAAAAACTGGATGTCAATACTGATGTACACATCAGTATTGACGTTGTCGACCTAACATGATCTATTGGTGTTCCAGTGCACTCGCTTATGAGTTCTACTGCAGCATCATGCGATCGGAGGGAGCAATGGCTCAAGTTTTGATCGCGCATGATTCACTGGTATCAGTGGAGAGGGACAAACACACACACAAGGCGTACGCTTACTAGCAGAATATGTATGTCATGGGAGTGGAGGGGTATGTGACCGAAGCTGGTCCCATAATCGTCTCCAGTGCTTCAAAGGGAGGTAGAAAAATTGGTGCTGCATGGTGATCATCCAGAGATCGCTGAGAGGCTTGTCAACACTGATGAGGTCAATACGACAGCTTGAAATAATCCGAGGGTATCTTGAAAGGATACTGGGACAACTTGATCTCCAAAAGGTATAGATAATGATAAATGTCTGCAAACAAAATTTCGAATAATGAATCCTATGAGTGTTGTCAGAGACTTTTGTATCTGAAAAATGACAGTCACATTTGTGAATTAACCATTGGGAACAACAGTTGTGCCAATAGAGCGAATTATATTTAGATTATCAAGCTTGGACTCGCCCATTCGATTGTTCAGAGGCATCAGGCACTCTTGATGGTCTTCGTATTATAGAATTATGGACACAACAAATGGAAACTGACAAAAAACGAAGGTGTAACTTTTTTTATTTATTTAACACGTCATACGGACTGCTTTCCTCACACCGTATCTTTTTGGCTCTATCAGCCGCTAAACGTCTCTTATGATCTCACCATGTGATAAAGCGAATTTGGTCATCATGGATGAATCGATACAATGACCTTATTGACAAATGTAGGGCTTCCGCTCATTGCAGCTGTAAACAGAAAGCCAAGAAGCTTTGTATTTTTTCACGCCAACAACCTTGTGCATCCTATAGAAGAAAAATCGAACGCGATGCTAGATCTGGTCGATATATGGGGTAGCTCGAGCAAATGGCCAATTGATGTCGGTTGCACGAATACGTAAGTGAGTTAAAGATTTGGTTTTCAATTTCACTTATTTGTATGATAGCCTTAATTTCCACAAATCCGAAGGACAACCGGGGGTAGCAGACTGATGAAGCAATGCTAATAGTATGCTTTTACTAATGATGGGTAAACACTGATGATGAAACAGCCATCCAAATATTTGATTGGAACTCTGCATGCTACAGACGCAAAATGAGAATTCATCTGGTGTGAGATGGTGGATACCGATTCATGCAAATGGGTCAACCCGTAGCGGATCATTGATTCGAAGCCACGTGTCTGGCCGATATTTGGTTTGGTTTTCAATAGCATAAATTCACAGTAAACAATCTTCATGAAAAATGATTTTAGTATGCAGAAATGTCGGGAAATGCGGTGCACAATAACCCTTAGTCAATGTCAGCAGTGAACTCAAAGATACTAGTTTTCACTATGTATCAAAAATCATTTTGCTGTACTTCTGCATTTGCGTTCTGTACCTTACTTAGATGATCATCGATGTATGATCGGAAAACCCTAAGATGTTAGTTCAAAAATATAACGATCTACGTACCTCACCAAACAGATTTGTTACCGAGATTATACCACAGTGATAAGCCATTCACGTTATGTGCTCACTTCCATCACGACGAGACTGCACCTTGGCGTGATGCAAAGTCTTCCGTACCTGAATGACCTTGCGAGCTATACGGGATAGCTCTTCATGGCCGCATATCCAATCATGCCTGAAAGGTCCACGGGTAAAGGCCAGATCAGTCTGACAAGACCAGATGCTTGGGCACCTCCTGGCTTTGTTCTTCCATCCAAACCCGCTCCTGGACAGGTCACTCCGGCAAATTAACACGGTGAGGAGCAGTTTACCGGTCAAAATACCCGTTAGATATATTTAGCAGCGGGTTACCTGAGGCCTCCTCTCGATGGTGGGAGAAGTCTTCGCACTTCACTGAACAGCTACCGCCCGCCCAAGCTGGGCAGCCCCCAGCCAATAAGGTGCTGTCCCATCCACGTCTCGCTTGTCTCATTGGATACTTAAGTCTAAGGGCTGATCCCGAACAGAGGACCGATAATCAACGCGCCAGCGAACAGTGCACTGAACCGAAACCTGAAGGCCTTTACGTGAAGGTCATTAAAAACTCCCAGACGCGTGCTTCTTTCACGCTCTCGCGTTGGATTTACTGCCAGGCGTAAGTGAGGCAATAAAGGAATCCGACGGCCTACTGATTCATATTCAGTAACGATGTCTAGATCAATGGGCAGAACATTTTAAGGCTCAGTTCAGCTGGCCCTCATCAGCACAAGACCTCCCTATACCCGGTTCAACGATGCAAATACTGCCAGCTGGCATTAGTCCTCCATCCGAAATGGAGGTTACCTGAGACATAAACTATCTTAAAAGGTTTAAGGCTTCCGGCCCTCTACAGGCTGTTTCCATCGGTTTTTAAGAATGGAGGTTCATTCTTGATTCTGGAGTTAACGAAACTCCTGGGTTCCAACTGAATGGTCTGAATAGGTAATCATACCAAATTACAAGAAGGGTGACAGGTCCTCTTGAGAAAACCATAGAGGAATTAGTTTGATCAAAATTGCCTCTAAACTTCTCGCCGGCACCCTATTCAGTCGATTGTCTGCCGCTCGTGAAGAGTGCACATGCGAGAACCAGGACGGTTTGATACCTGGTTGAGGTTTCACCAATCACAGCTTCAACCCCTGTCAAATCCTAGAACACAGGCACTCCTTTCGTAGACCCACCATTTCCATCTTCTTCGGCCTGAAAGCGGCTTTCGACCCCGTTGTCCGCTCTAAACTCTAGCGCTGCCTTTCCCTGAAGGGTGTGCCCGATTTCAATATTACAATCCCTCTACAGTAATAACCGAAGCAAGTTCGAGCTTACGACTTTTTCCTCCGAGTTCACTACAGAAAGTAGCGTTCGACAAGGTTACCCTCTCTCGTCGTTTTTATTTAACTTTGTCATAGATTTGATTCTTGAAACAACCCTATCCTCGTGCGACGATAGCGGCATCAATTTACTCAGTAGCAAAATGTGTGATCTAGAGTATGCAGAGGACATTGTGTTACTGATTAAAGATCCAGGTAAATTGCAAGCTTTTCCAGATAGTTTGAGCGTTAGTGTAGCCATGTTTGGTATGAGTTTTACACCTTCAAATTGTGAAATGTTGCTCCAAGATTGGGTTGGTCCAGTCCCTAACCTTACCCCGACCGGGGAAGTAGTAGAAGAAGTGGACAAGTTTTGCTATCCGGATAGCTATATCTCACCTGATGGACGCATCACATATGAAGTGTCAGCGCGCATACAAAAGGCTTGGTTGGCATTAGAAAATGAGAAGCATCTGTGGCGCCATCACGACATCCAGCTCTCTGTGAAGGACCGCGTCTATGCTGCAGCAGTTCGACCAGGGGTGCTTTACGATGCAGAGACTTGGCCATTAAGGGAACTGGGTAAAAATAGATTATCGGTGTTCGAAAACCGCTGTCTACGTAGCATTGCACGAGTCTGGTGGGGAAACCGGACGAGCAGTGCTGAAATTAAGCGTAGAGTCTTAGGTGATCGAGGTTGTCCACTGGAGCAAATGGTCGACCCTCATAGATTACGCTGGTTGGGACATGTGCTCTGCATATCACCAGATAGGTTGTCACGGTGAACGAACGATGTTTACCGAGGTA